CAGTGCCCCAACCAAGCGACGCCCCTCAATTAGGGCCGAGCGGCCTGGCCGCTCGGTGGGTGCGAAGCCGGTGTGGGGCAACGTGCTCTTGTTGTTGATGTCTGTGTGATCACCCTGTGAGCAGCTGCCACAATCGTGAGGCACTCAGCTTTCTTTTGCAGGGGTCGAGTGGTACTGTAAAGTAGCTTGGGTGTTGAACCACAGTGCAAGCACCTGCGGTGATACAGTAGTAAGAGATTTGGATGCTGCAACGCCCAGTCACGAGTTCACTTGGTGTTGCAAAGAGCTGCACCGGGCCGCTGCTGCACGATGCTGCGCCCCGGAGCAGCACGCTGCTGCAGCGCTGATGAAGCGGCGCAGCGTCGCAGGTGCTGCTGCTGCAGGTTGCAAATACGCGGCAGAGCCACATGCGCGTGTTCAACCAGCCCTGAAAGCTCACCATTTGTAAAGAAGGTGTCGCTTGAGGCGCTCGGACCCGCTTTTTGGCAGAAGCCTCGCTCTTTTGACGGTCTTCGCAAGGCTGCATGCGGTCTCGCGTCGAATATGCTTGCAAGTACGATGCCAAAACATATAAGAAATGAAGAAATTAACTGTGGCAATCATATGGAAGCGCTCAGCGCCTTCGTGTCAATTGCTGTTTTCCTTGCAGCTTCTCGCCCTGCCGATCAACTTATCATGAGCGCGTGGCTTTGACAATGTGTTTGCACGCAGTTATGAGTGGATGCCAAGTTACTGTAGCTGGAAGAAGGATTGCCGTTCGTGCGTCGGTTGTGTTGCTCGTCCCAAGTAAATTTGACCTGTTGACCACTCTCGCAAACAGGGGTTTTGCCTGGGCAAACGCAGGGCTGACAATCGCGTTGCTTTATATGCCTTGATGCTGTTGAAGGCTGCCATAAAGCCCCACCCATGCCAGAGCCGCCACTACCCCAAACACGGCACAGGTCAGCTCGCGATGTTGTGTGTGGACCGCTGTGCTCACAGACACTTCAGCACAGCCGTGGGTGCTCATCTTGACCAGCATTGAAAGCACCTGCGACGAAGGATTTGCCGTTTGCGCTGCACAACCATAAACACCCTTCCTGGATGCTATTGCGATGGCCAACTTACAGTGGCAGAGTTCAAGGCGAAGAGCTGGGACTCGCATGCTCACAATGGCGGCGACGGCGGGCTGACGCCGGGCAAAGGCCGCCTGCAAGCGCAGCATACAGACCCATGGTACGTCCTTGCCACACCCCGCCGCCTGCAAGCCTCGCCTACTGCTTTGCCCGCTTCGCCGCCGGCTGCTCCCCGCCCGGCGCGGCGCCGCCGCCGCTCCCGCCGCCGCCGCCGGAGCTGCGGGGCAGCTTGATTCTGACCTTGGGGGCGCGGGACGCTGTAAGGACCGACCCGCCAGATGGCTGGGGCTGCGAGTGCGAGTGCGATTGCGCCTGCGAGCCCGCCAGCGGGGCCGGCTCCACGCCAGCAGGGCCACCGAAGCCCGCGCCCGGCTGGCCGCCGCGGGGGCCCGCGCCGCCGGCGGGCGCGGGCCGGACGGCGGGCTGCCGTGTCTGCGCCTCCCGCTTCAGTGCGGCAGCGTCGGCCGCGGCCGGCTCCTGCTTCGGCTCCGCCTTCACTGCTGCTAGGGCTGCTGGCGGCGGCGTCTGCCGGAGTGCCTTTTGGGCCGCTTCTTGCTGCTGTTGCTGCTGCTGTTGCTGCTGCTGCTGCCGCTGCTGCTGCTCCTCGGCCGCTGCCGTGGCCTCCGCCTCTGCATCGCCGTCTAGCGGGGGCAGCCGGGGCGCACGGTACCTGACCATTTGCGTGGCGTGGCATTAAGTGTGTTGTCTTCACAAGGGGTGACGAGGGCAGGGCAGGGTGAAGAGTCGCGATACAACGAGCAGTACCGGGGGCCCTCACGCCTATAGAGCTTGCTGAAACACTCAACGATGCCGTGTACGCCCTCCAAGCATCCCAAACCACCTTCCCATCCCCGTGGCACCGTTGCGGAGCCCGCCGGCCGGCCTTTCAACCACGGAAGCTGCCAAACGGCCAACCACGACACCTTCTCTTCAATGCAGCCCGCTCTCTCAGCGCAACCCTCAGCCACACCCCATCGCCGGGCCCCGCCCGCCCAGCTACCGCACCCCTCACCCCTTGCAAACACATGCGCACCCTCCCACAAAGCCCAGGCCCCCTCCAGACCTGCGCAGCACGTTCATTATGATCTCATCCGTCCTCTCCCAGTGCTGGCGCTCCGCCATGGACAGCACTTCTGGCAACTCCATCGGCTTCGCATCCGTACAC